CCTCTATATACCCTTACCCCCTCCCTCCTCTCTCTCTCTCTCTCTCTCTCTCTCTCTCTCTCTTCAACCCTCTTTGTTATTTTTTAAAACACATACACACACACTCTCTCTCTCTGGTTCAGGTTGTTGAGGTAACATGTCCTTCGTGTCATTCAGCCCTATTTGTAAACATGGGGCTCCTTCGCTCTTTCTGTAATATATCTCTCTTTTAAAGGTTCTCTATGGTTCATTCTTATAACTTTTTCCTTTGCAAATGGTAAAAAATTTCATCCTTATAGTTGTATAAGCCCTATACTACATAAATCATGTATATATGTGGATAGGTTTCTTGTTCATATATGGCATTTTTTTGTGGTTTAATTATGACATTTTAAATTCTGTAGTATATGAATTAAAGACATGGGACTTTTCTTGGTATGTCTCCATGTTGTACTCGTATCATGACCATGTCATTGTCCAAATTAAAATTTATGATTCAATGAATTTCAAATGTGATGCAATAAATATGTTACAAAGTCTTGTTAACTTTTAAATATTTGCAAAAAAATTGCAAAAAAAAAAAGTTGAATACTCGGTTAGAATTTCAACCATGTAACAGTGATAAAGAACTCCATAAGCCCTAGATTTGCCATTACCAGTGCTTTTACTCTACGGTTTCTCCTAAACTCAAGAACTTAGGTCCTCACTTGAACTCTTATGAACTTCTATGAATTGCTTCTTTATGCCCGGAAAAGGTCTACCTATTCATTCCAGAAACTTCCAACACATAGCCATCGGATCCGCAGCGATTGCGTCCTGGATCTATGACACCCTTGATGTGAGCTTATGCATCTCACCTAGTTTTGCAGGCCACATTATTCCTATATTGGTCTGACGCATTCTACATGGATTTCTTGCGCAATTTGGATCCAAGACAATTCCTTTTCATCTGAGTTCCTAAATTGATTCTGGATAATCATAATGGTTTTAGGATTCCTACTAGATGCCTCCTAAGGGTTTCTAGAAACTATAGTCTATGGTTGTAGGGTATTGAAACTATAGGTGAGGATACTCTGAGGTTTTATTACACTGGTATAGTCACTAATGGCCTCTTAGGCTACGTTACATTATTCTACTGAGGTTCAGATTGTAGGTTTCAGGTTTAGGGACCTAGAAATACAGCCAACTTCAAAAGGGATATCTACTCTTTTTCCTGAGTTGTAAAATACTACCTTTACAACAATTTATTTAATTTTATCTATTATTTAGTCCCCCCAAAATATTCCTACTTCGAATTCCTCCTTTCTTGCATATAAATGTTTTATTGTGGGAATAACTTTTGGTTGGAATTGTTATTTCAGTAGTAATCGATTTTTGCAAGTTTCCAATTAATTTAGATACTCATGTTTCTTCTCTCTAGTTCATATTTTTAAATAATATTCTCACTAAATCTTTCTAAGGTTCCATTTTATTTGTGAGTTATTATGAATTTTTATGCATGGATTCTATAGTATATTTACTATGCATGGATTTCTCTCCATGGTAAGTATTTATAGTACTTAGAGTGGTTTTTCTTTTATTGAACGTTAGTACTTATAGTGGGTTTTTCCTTAGGACACACGAGCGAAACGAAGATAAAATGCATTCTCACAAAGAATACAAAATACCAATTTTAAAAGAAAAATTCATTAGAAAATAGAATAGCATGGAAAAAATTTCCCTCATTTACTTCTAGTATTAGAAATTTTGCAACTATATGTATCTCATGTGCACTATAACTCTGCCTTGGCCGGCCCCTACTGGTCAATGCCTGTCCCAAGAAAAGAAAAAGGAAATTTTTTTCCATAGACTGTTGCTATAGCATAGTCCCATTGAATTCTATTTTCTTTCCTTTGCACCTTTTTATGCATACCTTCAATTTTCAGGTTACCTTCTTTTATTTCTCAGTATCATCAGGTCATTTCTTTACTCTAATCCTGTGTAGAAGTATGTGCAAGGTTCTGTTATTTCTCGATAGGAAAACATGTTTGGGGGCGTAGTTACCTCATTGTTCCAGCATAGGAGCCCTGGTTTCTTTCATAGCATCCACATCCATGGAAATGATATATTCAATAAATATGGTTCACCAGGACATTTTTGCAGGGAGAGGAAAACAAACAATTATTCAGCTGAAACTGTAACAAAGAAACACAGAGATCAGAAAGGCATCAGTTTATTTGATATGATCTCTCTAGAATGCTGTCATGATCGAACAAAAACAGAAACTTTTCCTTCAATAGAATTCTAATACTTGTTATTAAATTTTACTTACTTCCTGTATTGGTTGAAATCTCCATATATAATCAGAAATCAGCTGAAAATGAAAATAAGTTAACCGAGTTCAGCTGGATTTGGAATGTCTTTTTGGTTTTTCTAATAAATTTGGGACAAAAATTAGGCCTGATCTTGCGTTTGAGGAGGTTTAAATGCCATTGTCCTGCCAAGCTATAAGCGCAAAGGTGTACGTAGAAAATGGAGATGTATTAAGAAAGAAAAAGACCATAAAATATTAACCGAGAAAATTCAATTCAGGAGGAAATGCTCTAAACAAAGCAGATCTCCCAAGTTGTGGACAAGGGCAGCAATATTGGCAAATTTGACATGTTATACTCATCAACAAGAAACATTGGACATGATGGCTCAATACTGGCAGAACAGTTTAACTACATGCGTGTGATTTTTTTAAAATAAAAATAAACTATCATGTTTGTGATTATTTGGACGCACAAGTGGAATCTGAGGAAAATAACTATTGGAGCTTTATGCTTCAAGTATTACGACTAAAAAAACAAAAGACCAGGAACACACGATAATTGCATAAACTATCATATTATTATCGGATTACCTGAATGCAATAGACAAAATAGCGCATGACAAGCATGGTGAGCAACATTCAACATGAATCACTATAAAAGCAATGGGGAAATTTCTTATTTATTTAGCAGAATGTGTGGAGGAATATTATCAAAATCTTCAGTGTCGCATCCCTTCATGTAAAGGTAAAAGTAAATTGTTTTTGCAGGCAAGCAAGATAGTTTTCGAAGACCAAGAGGGCTTTGCAAAGAGGAATGACCATCTAGAAGTTGCCTCTTGAAGGGCCTTACCGTGCCTTTCAGAGGTCAGCTTTGGCTGAAACATACAATCTGCTGCAAATTCTTTTTCAAGTTCTTTTTATTATTATTATTATTATTATTTAAAAGTTGTTCAAGGTTGGTAATCCAATACAAATTTTGGAAATTAGCAAAACCCTGATTTGTAAGCTGGGAGTTCACCTGGGTAAAAAAGAATTGAACTAACAGCAAAAACAATTCCTTGGTTCAACTAAAAGTGAAATAGTTAAGCAGGAAGACATTTGCCCAGCATACCCCAAAACCGAATAATTTTAGCCAGAATATGTCTAAAGGGAACCCGTTTTTTTCTCTATAGGAAGGAATTTCACCTGCTTGAGAGAAATGGGAATGTGAGTTTCCCACACATTTCCACAGTCTTAAAAGCTCTTGCACATCACGCTCCACAACCTGCAAACTGCAGATAGGAACTGGGAACCAAGGTTTAAAGGTGAGGTAAATACACTAATGGTATACTGAAATGAATATACCAAATCTCTTGCACATCAAATTTGCTTCGCTTTGGCCAAAGCCTTCGGATTTTAAGCATAAACCAAAGCGAAAAGAAGCGTGGTGCTCGCTTCGGTCAGATTCGGGTCTACTTCGGCCGAAGCTTCGAGCTGCTTTGGTCAGAAAAGAAATACCTATATAAAAGTATGTTTTCTTTTTCTTTTCTTTTTTTTTAAATTTTTTTTTATTTTTTATTTTAAAATTTTCCATTATTTTTATATATTTTATATATAAATATCTAATTTATTTAGATTAAATTTTAAAAAAAATCCGAAGTCTTCCCCTGAATCGACCGAAGCACAGAATTGCTTCATTTTCTCACCAAACAGAAAAAGACTCCGAAGCGAATCTGACAACATTGGAATATACTCCATTAAGAACGATAATTTTTCTTTTGAAAATTAAGAACAGTTATCTCCACCATTCTCATATTGAACTGAATGATGGATGTAACAAGTATTATTAGTGTATGGCATTCTTTACAATGGAAGAATCCAATTCTGAAACTAACCGAAAGAAAAGAAAAAATGGAAAACATTCCATACTGCATATGAGTATGAAATAGCATACTTAAACCCAACATCCAATGTCTATTTTATCCAACGACAGTGAATGGTCACGTTTACTCAGCAGGAACAGTTAAGTTCATAGCTTGTTGATGTACATATGGACAATTGGTGTTGGGCGTCATTCAGCAAAATGTGCATATCACTTTCTAATCTGAGCAAACAGATCAAACCCCAACTAGCAGAGCACCAGTGGTGCTCTCTGATGTTATTGGCTTCACATGTTATTGCCCTTATTAATTTGCAAAAGCACACAAAACAGGCACAAGATTAATGGAAAACCCCAATTCTTATTGGTTAGGATTATAAGGAATAAGGAAAAGACTCTACAAGCTAACTAATTCAAAAGAAGTTCAAAACGCTTATGTACCAAAACAAACCATCCTTTACTAAGGCTGGTTTCGTGAAAGGCTTCAATAATGGAATCTGGCGCCATATGCATGAGATGGTGTTGGCAGGCAATGGTGTTGGTATGCCAACACCTGTTCTCATTTGTGCTGCCATGCACACTACTTAAAAAGGGCTTCCTACCTTCTTTTTCTACTGTACAGATGCAATAAGGCACTGACAACAATGGGTTGTTGTCGCCACCAAATTCTGATCCTAAATGAAGCATAAGAAACACCGAACAACCTAAAGAATTTAATTATCAACAAGATTATTGAAACAAATAATACATTGATCGACAAACAATTCAAGTATATAATCCCAATAGGTTAAAGCATCAAAAATCCAGATTACAAAGAAAATGGACATCTCAAAGTCAAATGCTTGATCAATGCATATTTCTTATACTTTTTCTTTTTAGAGTATTTTTTATGGTGAATCAATACTTCTAACTGGATGATAAAAGAACAAAACTTCACTTACAGGAATACATACTCGAATGTGAAAGCTGACCAGTTTTTTCCTCCATGGGGGACTATAAGTCAAACTGCAAAGATATGTAACATAGAACTCGAAAATTCAAAGAAGTGTACAAGTTCATCTTTTCGAATGGATGCATGACATAACTCGAGATCATCACTTGACACTCGAAAGTAAGCCATTAATCGATATGAAAATTACAAAACGAACCTCTCCTCTAACTTCCTTCGGATATTGAAAGTTACCATCAGCTTAAAAGCGTCCAAAATATTCAAGGACCATAGTTTGGCCAATATGAAATTTCTTTTGCATGTTGACTTAAGGAAACTGAGCAGACAATTGTTGTACTCAACTGCCAATAGTTTATTGGACAATTTGATGCATTAATAAGTATCAGGCCCAAAGCAAGTATACCATCATAAAATGGACTGTAAAGTATAGTACCTAAAAGCAACATCCACCATTCTTTCAGACTGATGGATGGTGGTCAATTAACAGAAGCAGAGGCCATAGGGACATTCAACTTAAGGTTAATCCAAACCATCCATTAGTGGGAATCGATGACAAACTTAGCATTGGCATGCCATAAACCATAGTCCATTGGACAGCACACTTTATCAAGCCAAAACATGAGCCTACCAACATACCACATAATGAACCCATTCAAGAGAGAAGAAGCCTAGTCGACCATAATAGCCGATAATTCGAGCCTCTGCACTTCTTCCCCATTAACTAGCTTTCTAAGCCCAGTTTTTAGCTCAGTTATCCCCTCTTGCAAAACTGCACAAATTGGATATATGGGAACTGTCTTCACTCTTCCTTTCAATTCTTCAAGCACACAGTCAGTACCATCTTCATCAATTTTATTGGCAACAATAAGGGAAGGACGATCTGATAAGCCTGGCTGATGACTCTCAAGCTCCATCACCAAATCTCTTAATTGCTCCCATGGTGGAATTCCCTTTCTCCCATCCAAAGCCGCTGATAAATCAACCACGTAGGCAATAACTTTGGTGCGCTCAATGTGTCTAAGAAAGGCATGGCCAAGCCCCCGGTTTTCATGAGCCCCCTTTATGAGTCCAGGGATATCGGCAACACTGACAGAGAAGTAGTCCTCATAGTGAAGGTTTCCTATGTTGGGTCTTAGTGTGGTGAAGGCATAGTGGCCTACTCTCGGCTTGGCTCTCGATATGGCCCCTAAAAGTGTGCTTTTACCAGCATTTGGCATGCCTACAAGGCCAACATCAGCAATGCTTTTAAGCTCCAATATAAGATGGGCCTCTGAACCTGGTTGACCTTCACAATTAGGTTCTGATGATGAGATCTCCTCATCTGAAATCTCATTAATAGGGTGAACATCCTCATGTCTAGTGGTTTTGGTTCTCTTAGAAACTTTCACAAAAGATGTGTTGCCCCAACCACCTTCTCCTCCTTGAGCAACAACTATTCGTTGCCCAGGTTTCGTAAACTCCGCCACCGAATATTGTATGGCTTCCTCCTCTTCAGAAGACATTTCCATGTAATCTGATTGAACCTCCTCATCATCATTCTCAACGTCTTCCTCAGAGTAAGAACAATATTCTTCCTCATCAGCTTTCAAGTCAAGTCCATTGATTTCCTTCGATATTTTAGGAAAGTCCTCTCCCTCATCAGATTTGAAACTGAGTTCATGGAGCCCCTTTGAAATTCTAGAAAAGCATTCTTCCTCATCAGTTTTTGACTCCAGTTCATTGGCTGTTGAAATTTGATCAACATTCAACGACTTACTATAGTGCTTTTCCTTTTTGGATTCCACTGTATGAGTGTGAATATCTGTTTCAACGCCAACAGCACCAGGGAGTTCCCATGGTGCCAGATCAGGACTCCGAGTTGGACTCTGAATGCTTTCTTCCAAAGACGGAAGTGATCCCCTAACAAGATGAATAACTGTACCCACTGGTACTTGAGCAACCTGCCATTTGGTGGCAAACGAGGAAAAACAATGCTATTTAATTGACATACAAGTCATAATAAGGGATAAATAAGAACAAGTTTGTGAGAAAATCCATAGATATTGTAATGACTTAGGGCTTATGACCTTGTCGGCCCCTCGGCTTCCCACTTTGTTCTTGGATAATCCATTGCCCCCCCTCTTAGCATTCTGTTAAAGACATGATTTATGAGCAAAAATGAACCACTCACGAGAAATATCATTTGCCCTCATCTCAAACCAATGAGATAAGGGTGAAATGATTGTCAAATTCCTCTAACCATGGTCTCTCCAGAGAGGAGACCACAATATCAACTTATCATTTAATTTTATAGTTTTTTAAAAGATAAATTCCCCTCTGGCTTCTCGTCAAGCAAAGTGTATTACAGATGATGAGTAATTGAAGAAAGGCTATAGAAATGGAGTTGCATACCAGATGGTGTTGTAAGTTGCTTAGGTCCCAGATAGCCGGAGAACATTCAAGAATCACATCTCCTCCTCTTCCACCATTGCCACCTATAATAACACCAAAAAGGTATTAGCTAGGATTTTGAAGTCAGTCTACTCACTCCTACACCTAGAAAAATCCAAGAAAATCCCCATAACCTCGAAAGAACATAAAAAGGCAAAAAGAGACAATAAACTACAGAATTTTACTATGTTAGCATAATCTCACATATACACAAAACAACCCAAAGTAGAAGGCCTAAACATTACTGAGTTTAATGTTTATGCATAATGCCACTACCTATATGCACAAGGGACATACAAAATAATCGGTACGAGTATGGCATTGGGTACTCAAACCCAACATCCATCATCTACACTTATCCTCCAACAATGGAGATGAACAATTATTCCCATATAATAAAATGGGAAGACATAAAAGTGAGCAGAAGTCTATCCCCCACCATCTATGGGAATGTACATACAGTGGATGTTGGGTTTGAATACACAAAACTATACTTAGAGGATATTTTCCCACTTATAAACAACAGCTAAGAGCATGTATGTATTTTCAATAATTTGTTGCAATATAAATGTTTCCATGACATTGGTACACCCAAATGCATATAGCTTAGGGACATTACAATCATTGAGACTCGCTCTAATCTTTTCCTTCCTATTGGAAACTGAAGAACATCGTTGTTTCATATGGCTGCTGCCTAAATCTTTGTGCCAAAGTAACCTCTATTATGGGTCTTGCTCTTGCTTTATCTATCATAATTATCATCATCATTCGAGCCTTATCCCAACTATTTGGAGTCAGCTATTCATAATAGGGATGTGACAAAAGTTTTCGTTGGCTACCAACCTAACACAACCCTCCTCCTTTCTCATCCAAGCTTGGGAGTGGCAATGGCGGAGTTACATCTTGTCGTATCTATATTCATGCTCATCTGAGAAACTACTGATCCCATGAAAAAGTAATGACCGAGCATTGCATCAGAATTTATTTTATCTCAGAGTGCATACAGATACGTAATCATTTCATTCATAGAGAAGTTATAGTAGGGAAACGAAAAAGCTCCCAATATTTTTGGTAATCAGCTAACAGCAAATATATCCACTGAGCTTTCTATAAAGTTCACAACGATTAAGCCGACTGAAGAAATTTAGGGTAGAATATACAATAGGACCATTATTATTTGGTACACAGAGGTCACAATTAATCTTGACCATTGGATGTGAAATTGAGTGGCAAGGTCTGTTTTATTAACCAAGCTCAAAGTTCAACGGGAAAAAAAATTTGTGATACATGTACACTATCAGATTTCACATTTGATGGCTATAAGTGATTGTAACCTCCTTGTTCCAAAGGTATATGGTATTAATGTCCTATGGTATACAATGCCATTTGAGGTTACTGGTACATATCTTGTTGTTAATATCGGCTCATTACCCACACAAATAGGACTATTCATGTACCATTTGTAAATCATGTAATCATTTCCATCCTAAAAATACTTATATATCCAGAAAGGGAATTATTCAATCCATAATCTCTTTATGTTCCCCTAAAGTTATCTATTTCCTAAAAGAATATAACTTAGAATAGTTAAAAGGAACAACCTCCATTAGCATACATGAAGAGTCCTCCCAAACTCAGTCTACAATTGAAGTGCATGAAAACATATATCAAAATCTTAATTTGATTGTTGTGTATCATAATCACCCTCAAATTATTACTGTGTGAAACGAAAGGAGCAAATATCCAGAAAGGCAGAAACTCAGACACACCACCACCATTAACATACATGAAGAGTGATCCCAATCTTAATCAACAACTGCAGTACATAAAAACAGACATCAATAATTCCATCTCAATTTTGGCGTATATCAAAACTACCCTCGAATTATTACTGTGATACAAAATGAGCAAATAGCCAGAAAAAGAAAAACAAGGGAGCAATATTCAACTTATGCTAACATATGCAGAATTAGAGAGTACCATCAGGTTTTCCTCGGCGATCATGGCGGCTTCGTCGATAGCTCCAACACCCCTTTCCCCCTTCTCCTCCTTTTACCCAAAGCGTAGATCTATCCACCATCCTCCTCTCCTGCAACCAAGCATGATAATTGCGAACTATTTCAATGTTTTACTTATCAAAAAAACCCACTCTGGAACTAATACAAGAATCTGAAAATTTTGCAATGACAGAGAGAGGGAGAAACGAAAAAATGAAAATGAAGGACCCCATCAAGAAAGTCCGAAGCTTTAGTTAGCAAAAGCAGCACTAAAGTGAAAGTTTGATTCAACAATGAATCCTGCATTATATAACATCAACAAATCATGGCAATAAATTTGCATAAGCAAAGCACTTGAACATAATAAAAGAAGGAAAAACAGAAGCACCTGAAGTGGGCCAACCTTGCCCTTCTTCTTTGGAACATCTAAGTAGTGGAAAGAAGCCACATTCCATGCAGACCCACGACTCTTGTTAGAATATCTCAGAGCGTCCGAGCGAAAAACCTTAAGACGAGCCCACATATTTCCGAGCAAATGAAACCCAAAATATCAATAAGGCTCCATTAAAAGAAGCCAGAGGTGTTCCAAGATATAAGATTTTCCTTTGAAGTTCCGGAGAGAGAGATAAAAAGCGGGAAAAACACAAAGATACACGTAAACCCTAAAAAACTGGGGTTATACAGAGAGGCTGCTTCAGAAGGACCACCATACATGCAAGAGCTTCAATGGCATCGACAGGGAACAGCGAAACTGAAATTAATTTGAATCTTACAGATACCTAGAGAAGGAAAATTGGTGTGGCGGCGCATTCCTATATTTGCGACCCCTAAGTCATTAAACATACGTGTGCATGCAAATGGGGTCGAGGCCCTGGACAATGAAAGTGATAGCTTTAAAATATGTTTTTATTTTTAGTTGCAAAATTTAAAGCTTTAAAATAGTGTATATCAAGGAGATCTATAAATATTTGAAAATGGTCGATCCACAAATGTATTACAAGATGCACTATTTCAAAAACTTGAAATTCATTGTTTTGTTATGTTCATAAATCTTGATGTCGAGATGTCAATTTGAGGATATTTGAACATCAAAATAACCTCTTCTAATAAAAATTTTGAGGTAACCTCGACTCTATATAAACTTTTTCCCCAACAAAATTAGTACTTTTTTTCCCAACAAAATTAGGAGATGGATGTAATGATACCAAGAGGTCGCAATAGCTACCGATAGTTATAATCATCGATTTGGTACAAAGTCTAAAATTAAATGTTACAAACAATGTGACACACATTAATCTATTGAATTTCATATCTAGTGGTGAAAAGTGATTTGTGATTTCTTCGTACTAAATATGGTCTCATAATATCTAATCTCAAAATTTAAAACCAAATATGGTCTCATAATATCTAATCTCAAAATTTAAAACCAAATATGGTCTCATAATATCTAATCTCAAAATTTAAAACCAAATATGGTCTCATAATATCTAATCTCAAAATTTAAAACCACTTGTGTAAGCATTTTTTTTCGGTAAATTGCAAAAAACCCTCCAAAATTGACACTTTACCCCACCCGGCTTTTCCTAGCAAATAACCCTGGAAAAAAGTTTATTTGTTTTTGGACGAAAATACTCTTCCCTCACATAACAAAATATTTTCATTGGAGACGACGGTCCGACATTTTGAACAGGCAGTTAGGCGATTATTTTTGCTGGAATGGTCGTGGCGGTCCGACGATTATTATTATTTTTTGCTATAATGGGTGGTCCACCATTTTGAAGTTGGAGTCCGGCATTTTGAAGGGATGCTCAGGTGTCGGCGATCTGGCATTTTGAATGGCCAGTCAGGTATTGGCAATCCAGCATTTTGAAGGGGCAGTCCGACGTTTTGAAGTAGCAGTCCAGCGTTTTGAAGTGAGCAGTCCAGTCTTGTACAAGTGTGGTCGAGCGTTTTTTTTATTGGGATCTAAAATGGTTTGTTACATGACGGAAGGGTATTTTCGTCAAAAAAAAAACTATTGTGTATAAGGGGTATTGGCTAGAAAACATTATTTTTTGTGAGAAGTTGATAGGAAAAGTGGGTGGGGGTAAAGTGCGCAAAAGTCTCGGGGTTTGCAATTGTCCCTATTTTATTCATAAATTAATATTTGTAGTTTTTAATATTTATTTTCTTACATATTGATGTTCTTCACGTCATGGATTGCATCTTCATAAAAAGGAAATTGATCTAAAAATAAAATTGATCAAATATCCATGTCAATTATATAATTTATTAAGAGGGGACTCATTCCTAAATATGAGTCGTGTGACTCATAAAAAACATGTCTAATAGATCATATTTCGAAGTTTTTACACCATTTATTTTACTTTTTTAAGTCCTTGACGATTTTGGAGGAAGGCATTGAGGTGGTGATGTAAAAGTACAATAAATAAAGAAAAAGTTTATATAAGGTGTCGTTAGTAAGGGAATGAGGGACACCTCAAAAAACACAATAAATGCTATTTTGATGTAAAAACCCCTAAATTTTATCATCTCTACTCTAATGTGTGTGGATATGAAAGAATAATTTGATTTAAAGTTTTTAAAATAGCATGTCTTATAACATATGTAGACCATCTATTTATAAGATTATCAAGTGTTTATATATCTGTTTGATTTGCAGTAGTTTTTTAACTTTAGATGATCATAAATAGATTTTAAAATCATCACAAAGATTTCATCACCAAAAATGCATGTTTTGGCAAATTTTACAGGTGTCTTATTTCGATTGTTTAAGGTCAACACCTTATATAAACCTCACCTGTAAATTTGGTACATATTTTTGCATTGTTAAAAGGGTACAATGTATATGTATTGTTAAAAGGGTACAATATGCATAAAGTGACAATCTTCTTATTAGAAAATATAAGGTTGCAATGTTTTACATAATCTATTTTAGTTAGATGGAAAATGTTCTACATAATCTATTTTAGTTTGATGGTGTAAATTTGACAAGTATTTTAAAATAGTGTAAAAAAGTAAGGTATTGTTTAAGATTGTGCCAAATTTAAACTGCAATTTTTTTTTGATAATGTTGATTAGTGCATAAATAAGGTCACAACATCATATAAACTTTTTTCCAATTAAAATCACATTTTTAAGGCTTTTTATTTACATAACGATTCAATGTGATTTTATGAAGTTTGTTAAAGCCACACCTCAATAACTCCACACCTCAATAACTCATTGCAAAGTGCCAATACTATAATTCCGTGCAAATATATTCCTGAAGCTGGCTAGACTCTGAAACTCGAAAAAATGGTGCGGATATGACAAATTTGTGAACTCTTAAAACTAAAAGTTATCGAAAATTGTGTCACAAGAAATATCATTGTTAGGGGTTAAAATCTTTTTATTTTTTAGATCCATGGTTATCAAAGTCGATATTATTGATATATAGGTTGTTCAACATCATAACTACTTTTTATTTTTATTTTTTTAATGATATTTGAGAAGAATGTTTTAAAAAATCATAACCAAACAAAACAATTTCCCTTATACGAACTAGGCACGACTCAATTTAATTACCTTTGGTTGCTTAAATTGGAGCAGATAACTTCTCATTCTTCAAATACACGGCACATAAATCAAAAACCTATTCGAACGTATTAAAATTTTTAAGGCCTGTAAATAATGCATCTTGTAATGTATTATCTTTGTTTTGAAAAATTTGAACTGTTCACAGACCTACTTGATCTACATTGTTTTTTGAGCTTTTTATTTCATGGTTAGGGGTAACAATAGATTTCATGCCATTGCAAAACTTCCATAGACCAAAACTATATTTTGCAGCATAGTTTTAAAATGTGGCTTACTTCAATAGTGCAGGGTTGACACCGTATAGAAACATCATCTTAAGGATAATTACTTTGGAAAACATTTGTATAAGGTGTTAACCTTGTACTATTGAAGTAAGTTGTACTTCAAACACCTTTTAAATAAGCTGTTAACCTTACACTATTGAAGTAAGTTGTACATCAACACCGACCCATAAAAGCCGCTTCGACATTTAAAAGCCTTACAATTGATCATCTCGATATTGAGATATAGGGACTTGAAGAAAAAAATTTGAATTCCTAAAAAATAAATTGTAACACATTATCTAGACCATCTATTTTTCAAAAATTTAAGCAATATATAGATTTGGTCGATCTACACTATTTGTGAGGTCCAAGTTTCATAATTAGATATAAAAATAGATTTTAAGGCCATCATAAGAGTTTTTAGCACTAGAATGCATCTTTTAGCCAGATTCGAAATGCACCATACTTTTGAAATTTTTTTTTATCAAATTCTATAAAATACTTTTATCTACCAAATTTTATGCATAGTTAAGAGCGACCGTGCCTCTCTAGTATAAAAAAAAAATAGTATTGGTGTTAACATCACATTTATATGTTCTCTCTCAAAAAAGGGAAAACTATAAATAACATATAACACTAGACTGTTTGTGCAAGTTACCTCAACCAAAATTTTTTTCTCCCTAAAATACACTTTTCTAGCACGTATCCTCCCTCCAAAGTGAAAAAAAGTATATTTATTTGATAAAAATACCCTCATTTGTATATAAAAATTTAATTTTAGCTGGACATCTACGCGAGCTTATATAGTTGTCGGACCGTTTTTTGACATTGCTTGACCCATTAAACTAAAAAAAATGCTGGACCGCTATTTGATATTGCTGGATAACACTTTGGGCATGTTACTGGACCGCATGGGCCTGTTACTGGACCGCATGGGCCTGTTATCAGACTGTTTCTCTGTAGTGCTAGACCATTCTTTGTACCTACTGTCGAACCGTCACTATTATTTATTGGATCGGCATTATACTGTCGGACAATCCTAAAAATAGGCCAGATCGTTTTTTCGTGGGAAAGAGGGAGAGAGGCGTGGGTAAAAGTATGAGAGAGTAGTTTGGATTTTATTTATTTATTTATTTTTAATTGGGGTATTTGCTATATAATTTGGGGTAGAAAGTTAGAAATTTAGTTGAGGTAACTTGAATAAAAAGTATAGCCTCGAGGGTTATTTGTAATTTTTTTTAAAAATCGCATTTTTGTTACCATGGAACCATTGAAAAGAGGAGCAAATTGGGTATTTTAAGTAGAAGTAATTTTGTCGTGATATCAGGAAAAAGGTTGGAAAATAAGTGTCGCAGTTTCTAAACGCGTGTCGTATCAAGTCCTTAATACTTAGCTCATACTTTTATGTGACTGTAATTCCGTTCGAAAATTGGCGCAGATTCCCTTTTCCCTCCCTCTCTCTCTAAAATTGTTCCTCTTTCTCTCTCTAAACTTGTGACTGCAAACGGAGCTAAAACCCTACTGGTTTCCACTTCTTAGAATCCATTTATGCAATGACCCGAAACAGAAGAAGTTCAAGGGTAAATGAACAAGACCATGTTATTTTTCATTTTCTGAAACCTTCGCTCTTCTCCTGTCACTTCTCATTCTTGGTTTTTTGTTTTCCTGAGTTACATTCTTACTTCTGTTCTTCTGGGTTGTTTCTTTCTATTACGTCTGTCATTTTATCTTTACTTTTCTCTTAGTGGGTTATTTTTTTCTAATTACCATTTATCTGAATATTTTTTGTGTAGTCGGGATCGAGGAGGGTCGATGCAGCCATTGATGCACTGCTTCCATTTGGGTTTTCTAAGTCCACTATAACCTGCACTGTAAATAAACTTCTAAAGGTATCTTTCTCTTAATGGCATCTTTCTCTTAAAAAAGAAAATGGTATATTTCTCTTAATTTTTTGAATGAAAGTTAGGTTTCTATGGATTTTTCGTAGTTATTTTTGTGTGCATTTCTTTTTGAGTGGTAGTTTTAGTTTGAGAATGATATATTGGAGTTTTCGAATTTTGGTTGTTTCTTAGGTTTACGGCGGGGATTCAGGGTGGCTGTTCATCGAAGAAGCATCATATAGGCTGCTTATTGATACTATATTGGAGGATCAAGAAAAGTGTTTACCAAAGGTAACCCATCTTTTCAATTTTGTTATTTTATACTGGGTTTTATTTTCTTAATGTTTTAAGGCATTTCTATGTACATCTTGAGGGTTGGGTTGGGATTTCTGAAGGGTTTGCATGTTTTATATTCGTTATATATTTTTGGCTGATTTTTCTTGGTGTTATGCAATATGCATGTTTTATATTCGTTATATATTTTTGGCTGATTTTTCTTGGTGTTATGCAATATGAGGGTTTTGATTCATGTGCTTTAATGCATGTTTAGAGTAGCAAGCAAGATGCCATATTGCTGTGCACTTTTCTTTTTAGTGTTTCTCTACAGCCTTGATGTCGCCCAGTGCTGAGATTGCGTAGTGCTGCTTTTTGGTGAGAATTTGGTACTTGTTTGGGTTAGGAAATTTGCCTCTCATTTATTGTTATGTTTGGAATTTTATATGGGAAATCCTTTTTCTTTTTGAAAATGTCAATTTCTTTTTTTCTCTTTTCACTCGAGATAATATTTTTATGATTATAATCATTACTCAATGCATGTTCAGATACATATTGTGGCCTTATAAGATCATCCTCATTGTGGTTTGGGGCTTCTGTTGTTGCTCCCTTGGCTGCAGGTTTGATTGCTCCATTATGGACCTTAAAAGTAACATGTTGCATGTAAAGTTCTGGTTACTTGGAAATTGGATTCAAAGTTTCATTTTGGAAGAATAATTGTAACATTGGGAGGTTAGAGTAAATGTGCCAAACCATTTAAATTATGCTGAAATGTTTAGAATATTGAACAATGGTCAATTCAAACACAATTATTTCATGTATGGGAAAGTAATCAACATTTTGAGCAAGGATGTTTAAGCAGACAAATCATTAAAAAGTAGTTGAATAATTTTTTAAACATAGTTCCTTTCAAATATCCCTTGAGTGGGAGAAATAGCTTTAAAGGAAGACGGTATATTATAGTGGTAACATGCAGTGTTTCATTGGAGTATGTAGGAATGCTATGAATGAGATAATCTCAATGTTTGAATATGGGAGGTTTGTTTTCAGTCGTATATCCTTGTGTTTCTTGAGGCATTGATGATAAAACTTGCCTTGGTCTTCACAAGGGAAATACTAGAAGAGGCTGGGAGGATCGGGGGGTGGGATGGATGGTTGAGGAGGAGGAGGCAGCATTACAACTCCTAGACGCCCCATCATGTGGGAATGCAGCAAGAAGGAAAAAATGACTGCCGCTTGGTGGTCTAAGCTAAAAGTTGAAGTTCGTTCTGCAGTTTTCAATTGCAGAAGAGTTTTTTCACCTCTTTGTAATATGCAATCTATGATTGCATTATGCATGTATCCTGTTTTATTGAGGATGATTCCTATCTTAGAATTGTTTTTTTTTCCTGAATTCGATATTTTCATCAACTTTCTGTTTAGTACTTTGACAATGATTCCTTCAACTCTTGTCCCCACCTCTATTGCTAAAGGTGAGAGTATGCCAAAGTCATTTGCAAGGTTTGAGAACTCAAAGTTCACTTGAGATTCGAGTGGGTCTATATCAAAGTGGACTGACCTCTTATGCACCAATGTCTCAGATATTGCTTGGAATATTTATTGTTTCATACAGGGCTCAGATAAGACTTGGGCTTATCTAGGACTTGGACTGCGCCCAAGTTATGGAAAATTTGCGAGTCTTTACAAGAGTTGCTCATTTTCACCCCTACTGAGTCCACTTGTTTTAGAACTTGGAAGTTACCAAAGGTGAGTCAAATTGAGTGACTCACTACTCCTAAACCTGAGTATTGGACACCAGTCTAGTGGAGTATGGGGTACTATGCTCCATGGCTACATCCACAGTTTGTTAGCTTTGTGAATGTTCTTGTGTCATTCCTCTCATCCATCTGATAGTGAGAATGGTGTTGGATTCGGCATTCGAGTATGGCATACTCTAGGAAGTTGGACTACTGGACACTCTCTTTCCAGATGTGATTGAATGTATATATTTGGAAAGTTTCCAATTGTCTACATGTGCCCTTATGGATATGAGCATGAATCTATTTCAGGTGGGACGATTATATGGAATCTTCTAGCAATCGTTGCCTGTGATAAACTATTCTTTTGGTGCTTGCTTTTCTGTGCTCCTGCTAATGTGTCATTTTTGTGAATAAAATTATTTCATACTCTGTATCCTTCCTATCCTTCTCAATGAACATTTATTTAAGGTGAACATACACTGGTCAAACAACTTGGTGGTGCCAAATCCACAGATTGTTGAAAACCTCTTCCATATGTATAGTAATGTTTTGTCTATAATAAGTGTCACGAGAGCTATTTTGTGCTTAACTAGTACAAACTTTATCCTCAAGGGTTTAAAATTTGCACTTTATTGGTGTTTTCAAATGTGTGATGTGACTTTTCTATAACTATTTAACCTTGATGAGAATATAATGGCAATAAATCGAGCTACTACTAGACCTTGCTTAAATTTGTCCATTGGAAGATGATGTACTCAAACACACACAAATTGGAATGTTCTGTTTTTTTTTTTTTTTTGAAGTTGTTAACTGTTGTATTAATAAAAGAGGAGTTACAAAAGGTTAGCGAGAAAACTCACAGACCGGACTTCTCGTCAAAAAATGGGCTTTACCCAAGAAGCCCTTATACAAACAATGGGTGGGGCTTATAAAAAATGCCAAGTACAAAAATTATACAGCTGAGAATAGTGGATCCAAAAAGTCGAGACCACAAAAAAGGAACAAATAAGAAGCACCAAGGTAAGAAACTCCAGTCCCCGTGCACTCAAGGATCCACTTCACGAGCAGCCGCCCCATCCTTAGCCAGTTGGTGCATTAGGGCGTTTGAAAGCTCGATCCCGCACTTTGAGACATGGGATCTCGATTCCTTGTGTTTTCTTGGTTTAGGGATCTTGATCCATGAAATCAAGGAACAAGATCCCAGGTTAATGGTATCCAAATCCCTATGCCAAAAACCACGGTTCCATGAGTAATTGGAACTGCAATTGGATGAACTTGGAATCGAGTATCTTCTCATTTGGGAGTGAGTTTCACTAGCACATGTGCAGGTTTATAGAATGGTGTGTGGATCTCCAAACTTTTATGACCTACACATATTTAAAGGCCTTGATTTCGTATATATTTTTTAGTTTACAACTTTACAAATGATTAGTTTTAAAGAAGGGCAATAAGAGAGTGTAGGGAGAGAGTAGGAAGAAAATGGAGGGAGATAAACAAGATAGTTGAGTTGCAATTCTAATCGAGGAATAAGATCGCGATCAATAGGGTTGACTTCCTTGGGGCTAGTTCACTGGGTCCTGTCCATCTCTCGAAGGACTTCTATTGGAGTTACCTTATGGGTTGAAGAAGGAAAATGGAACTTTGAACATGTTGTCAATGTAATATGGAATGAGATGGCTGAATGTGTCAAGAAAGTGGCAAAAGAAGTTTTAGGGGAATCTAGAGGGACAAGAAACCTCGATAAGGAAACTTAGTGGTAGAATGATGAGGTTCAAAAGGCCATTAGCGAAAAATGATCATGTTATAAAACTTGGCAGTGTAATAGAAACGGTCAAAACTTAGAAGAATATAAAAATGCTAAAGAAATTGTAAGTAAAGCAAAACTTAAGGCATATGATAATCTATATAATAAATTGAGAACAAGAGAAGGTGAAAAAGATATCTTCAAATTAGCAAAAATAAGAGAGAAAAAATGTAGGGATCTAAACCATATTAAATGCATTAAGAGTGATGATCAAAGGGTTTTGGTAAAGGATGATGAGGTCAACGAAAGGTGGAGAGTCTATTTTAAAAAATTATTAAATGACGAACAAAATGGAAACATAGTAGTAGAAGGGACTGTTGGTACAAGTGGCGATGGAGGTCATTGATACATTCGTAGGATTAGGATGTCGGAAGTGGAAGAAGCTTTGAAAAGGATGAAGATAGGAAAGGCTTTAGGACTAGATGGTATCCGATAGAGCTCTGGAAGTGCATAGGGGAAATTGGCGTTGACTGGTTGACAAAGCTGTTCAACGAGGTGTTGAGAACAATGAAAATGCCAAACAAATGGAGAAAAAACATTGTGGTACCTATTTACAAGAACAAAGGAGATATATATAAAGCTTATGAGCCACACTATGAAGCTCTGGGAAAGAGCCATTGAGCAACGACTGAGACATGAAATGATTGTATCTGAAAATGAATTTGGTTTTATGCCAGGAAGGTCAACAACTGAAGCTATTTTCCTACTTAGGCAACTGATTGAGAAGTTTAAGGCGAAGGGAAAAGACCTCCACATGGTCTTTGTTGATCTAGAGAATGCTTATGGTAGAGTACCTTGAGATTTAATTGGCGGTGTTGGAAAAAAAAGGCGTCTCTAGATACTACATCGACTATATACGATGGAGTGGTTACTAGTGTACAAACAATTAGTGGAGAAATGAGTGCGTTTTCAATGACAATAGGTTTACATCGGGTCAGCATTGAGCCTGTACCTCTTTGTCTTAGTTATGGACAACGTAACTAGGCACCTACATGATGAGGTACTGTGGTGCATGTTGTTTGCAGATGACATAATTTTGATTGATGAGACTCGAAACGATATCAACACAAAGTTAGAACGTTGGATGGATGCTTTAAAATCCAAAGGTTTTAAAATTAGTCGGACTAAGACAGAGTATATAGAGTGCAAATTTAGTAATAATAGGAGTAGAGACGAGGAAGTAGTTAAGAACTTAAGATTGACAACCAGAAAGTACAAAAAAGACCGCACTTTCGATATCTTGGGTCGATAATCTAGGAAAATGGAGAGATCGAGGAAGATGTCGCACACAGAATTAGAGTTGGGTGGATGAAGTGGAGATGTACAACTGGAATTTTATGTGATCGCTGCATACCAATGTGGCTGAAGGGCAAGTTCTATAGGACAACGGTGAGACCAATAGGTGATAAAATGAGTGTAGCGGAGATGAGGATGTTGAGATGGATGAGTGGCAAGACATGAAAGGATAAAATTCACAATGAATCTATTCAAGAGAATTTAGACGTGGCATCAATAGGCGATAAAATGAGAGAGTAGACTTAGGTGGGCTGGCCATGGGTGGCACCGATCAAGTACAACAACTGTTAGGAGGAGTGAATAGGTCAAATAGAAGGACTGAAAAGGGCAAGGGGTAAGCCCAAAAGGACATGGTTGGAAGTAGTCCGAAAAGATATAGGGACTTATAGCCTCACTGAGGATATGACCTTTAATAGAGCAGAATGAAGAACCAAGATTCATGTAGCCGACCCCAATTAATTGGAAAAAGGCTAAAATGATGATGATGATGATGGAGTTATGAGTGATGAAATTATAAGGCAATGAAATAACATGTATGCTTGGAAATTTGACGAGTCTCTCACTTATATGTCCTAGAGCCCCTAGCAATCTTTAATGGAGATCTATTGAGAATTATATATAGCAATGTCTTTCCCTTTTTTCCCCAAAAGGAACGCTTATTTAATCACAATATTTCCTTTTTGAAAACAGTCTGTCACAACATTCTTAAATGTAATCATCAATTGATATTCGAGGGGGAATCGTCCAGTCCAACTGATTGGTGCCAAAAGGGGTTAGGTGTGTAAGCAGGCAAACCAATGCAAGTAGGTGTTCAATTTTTTCAATGAATCCACTTGAATAAAGGTTTTAAAATCAGCGGACAAAGACAAAGTACATGGAATGTAAGTTAGTAATAATGGGAGTAGAGATGAGGAAATAGTTAAGATTGATGGCCATGAATACTAAAAAGAACGCACTTTCGATATCTTGGGTCAATAATCTAGAAAAATGGAAGATTGAGGAAGATGTTGCACATAGAATTAGAGCAGGATGAGCAAGGTGGAGATGTGCAACAAGATTTTTATGTGATTGCCGCATATCAATGAAGCTGAAGGGGAAGTTCTATAGGAAAATTGTGAAACCAGCTTTGCTTTATTGGGCGGTTGAGAAACATCATACCCATAAGATGAGTGTAGATGTGATGAGGATGTTGAGATGGATGAGTGGCTTGACAAGAAGGGACATGATTCGAAATGATTATATTTGGGAGAATTTAAGTGTGGCTCTAGTAGTTGATAAGATTAGAGAAAATAGACTTAGGTGGGCTGGCCATATGCAGAGTAGACCTAGTACAATACCGTTATGAGGGGCAAGTTGGTTCAATACGAAAGCTCAAAGAGGGCAAGGGGTAGGCCCAAAAAGACACCGTTGGAATAGTGAGAAAAGATATGGAGGCTTGTAGCCTCACTGAGGGTATGATCCTTGATAGAGCAGAATAGTGGACCCAGGAGTTGTGCAGCCGATTTCAAATAGTTGGGAAAAGGCTCTAATTATGATGAAGATGATGATCCTCATGTGTAATTTTTTGGAATGAAGCTTTGCTTAAATAAAATGGGATTCACCCCCAGAGTAGAATATTGTGGACAAGTGACATTTGAAGGCTCAATCCTAAGCTAGACGGATTGCGATGCCATTCAGTTTGGGATTTGCTCCCTTCATGTTAGGGATCTTGATCCATTGACTTCATGATATATGTAACTTATTCCCTCAATGATGGATTTTCAAGCCTCTCTCTGCTCCTCATTCCGGTTTTCGATCCTGGAGCTTTCCTCGCTCCCTTTTCTGGTAACTATGCTCAAAACACATTGAGCATTGTGCTACAACTTCTGTGTGTGTGTGCAAACACATTGATCTTTGTAATAGAAACATGTGCATATGTATGTATGTGTGTGTTATTAGTCTAATGACTATGGAAAAATCATTGTCCATTTGGTCATCACCACCCAAGGAAATGGTGGATGATGATGGTTTGAGAGAGAGAGAGAGAGAGAGAGAGAGAGAGAGAGAGGAGATAGTGTGTGTTCGTTGTTGTAGTAGTTAGTTAGTTGTTACTAGTGACAGTCGTCCGTACGGTTACTTACGTTAACGGTTACTAACGTACGTTACCTTAC